CGCTGGCACACGCAAATTCTTGGAAACAGTGCATCTCTGACTCTCAATTCCAAGAAATGGAAATCCTACTCTATTTGACCAAAGGGGTGACAGGTGGCCAAAACATATTGAAATGTAGGTCATACACTGAAAATAACTCTGATTTAAAACACTACAAATATACACCTTCTCTCTAATATACTCGATAGATGATCTTAACAAGGGAACATGTACATAAAACGCTGATATCTAACAACACCTGTACTTTAATTAATGGACTCTTCCAAATCTCAGTATGTTTCACTGCACACATATTAGATTGCAAATAATGAAAAACCTACCCTTTGACAATAATAAAAAAACATCATATTCAAATTCTACAGCTGACCAAATACCCGAAGAGTGTGTTTCCCAGCAATAAACATCTCTTGTATCTATAAATGTATGACTTCTGTCCTCTCGCGTGCTATCTTGCATCCAGCTGTTTACGGCGAAAAACAATATGGCGCCAAGCAAGGGAGTGCTCATTAAACTAAACATCTCCGGGAGAAATCATTGTCATTTTTTTCTCTTAAATTTTAAACCTTATATATATAAATGAAAATAAAGACCAACTATTATCACCAAAAAAGACCAAACATTATCACAAATATTCAAAACAGGTGGTAATGAAAGAGCATTATCATCTTTCTCTTAAACTTTGTGGTGGATATACTGGAAACAAGTGAAATGTTAAAAACGTGTTACCTTAGCCTTGCTCCTTTTATGTGATCCACAAAATTGCTGCCACCCAGTCTTCGAAGATGAGATTTCTGCAAATTCCATTAAAATAATCTTATTTCATAATTAAATGTTCCTTACATTAAAATTACTTCTTTTGTATGTAAGATTTTAACCTTTAAGAGACATGAATTATCATATCCCTTCCAAACAAGTGTAAGAATGAAAGTCTGTGGGTGCAGTTTTGTTAATTGTCCCATCAAAGAATCATTAGTGAAGTTACACTTTTTGTAAATAAATAAAAGTTCAAATAAATTATATACAATTTCATCCTTAACAAAGACTTTCACAAGACATTTTAAAGTGAAAATTTTCGTTGCATTTCCTTACGCCATTCTCCACCACCCCCCTCACCCCAATAATATACATATGTTGACAGGGTTCAGGGCGTGCTCAATGCATCATTTACTGATAGATCTATTCAAACGAACAAATGTTCATAATAATGGGATGCAATATAAAATGTTGATTAATCCTATCCGATTTTGTATAGTGTATAGCTGCCCTTAGGGACCGTTCATAATGTATGGCTTTGGGGTGATGTTGATTTTTATGTACAATGTGAATTACACCCCCCCCCCCCCCTAAAAGTGTATGAGTATGTACAGAATAAGAGACGGCCCACCCTGCATGTCATGTACATTATCTATGACGCCCTCTCCCCTTCCCATAATTTCTAAACATAGTGCGTGTGTACAAAAATGCTGACCCCTTAGCTCCCTGAACAAAATGGGTGACACCCACCCCCCCCCACCCTCCAACCCTTACAATCAACACCCCCACCCGCAGCCATATATTTAATTATGAACGGTTCCTTATATTGATGTACTTCATTGATTATTTGAAAATGTATATTTGCAAAATTCAGATCAGGTGATGGGTACGAAAGGAAATCTTATTCGATTCTATAATAAAATGCCAAATATATGCATGCAAATATATTGAAAAATAACAAAACAAGTTCATGGAAAACACAGGCTTCCACTAAATTTTGAGAAACATGTACATACCGGTAACCTTGTGAGATAAAACATGAGCCCTAATTCGGAGTTTCTTGCTACTGCTAGATTTAAACGGCATTCCTACGTTTTCATTATACATGAAGGACATACTTACCAAATAAACACCAGCATGCCGTGAAGATGGTGAAAATAGAACGATATTGCGTTGAACTTCGCCAAAGTGAACTGACAACGATCAGCTGCCTTTGCGCGCGCGATAATTGTGCGCATGTCCGGATATGGCCAAACGAGGCGATCGGAAGGTCAACATCTGGCTTGTGTTTGAAAGCAAATTGTCGGGAATTATACAATTTTCACAGTTTTGTGGGAAAATATCAAATGTAATGCAATTTGGATAACTGATGACTTTATACCTAAAACTGCGATTTACGTAATATTTCCGTCCGTTGATCGATGCACAATCAAATAATATATAAGATTATATCTGTCACTAGCTCGATCTTGATCTTTTATGAAAATAATGTTCCGAAATGATAGTTGCTAAGTTGGATACCTATTACCAATATGAATTATGTATCAAATTTGCCAAGGAAACAATTAGTTGACATTTTGTTGGTTCCTTACGTTGAAACAACGTTGACAACTAAACGAATCTCGACTAACTTTCTTTAGTCGCATGATAAACGTTGAATCAACGTTTATGAAAGGTTGATCAACCAAACAACCAAAATTCAACGTTGATTCAACGTTGATTCAACGTGGGCTATACAAACCAGTAGACACTACCATAGATACTATTACTGCTGGTGACTTTAACATCAATATACATAACCAGACTAATAACATGATTGACAATCTTCTTGGTACATATGATTTACAGCAACTTATCACAGAACCAACAAGGATCACCCAAACGATTAGTACGTTAATTGATTTAATCTTTGTTTCAAACCCTAATTGTATTCGCACTTCGGGTGCGCTTGATCCTTTTTGCAGTCATCAGTGTCCAGTTTTTGTCTCTGTTGGGGGCTCTGATTCAACGCCTTTAAAATTTAAAAGGAAAGTGTTTTATTATGATTTAGCTAATACTGAGGGAATGAATCGAGGCCTTAACAACGTTGACTGGGAATCCATCATTAGGTGTAATGATATTGATATTCTAACACATGAATTTGTTGATGTTTTGAGAAATATATGTGGTATTTATGTCCCAAACAATGTGGTAACTGTAAGACCTCGGGACAATCCATGGATGAATAGTGCTATAAGAATACTTATCAGGAAAAGAAATAGACAGCATAAGAAAGCAAAGACTCGAAATTATGATAAAGACTGGCAAAAATGTAGGCTTTTACGGTACAAAGTAACAGCAGCCGTGAGAGCAGCCAAATTGAAATATATTTCTGATTTAGATGATAAGATCAATCAGAGGAGTAATTCTAAATTTTGGTGGGCTTTAGTGAACAAGTATATAAAATCCAAAAATGGAGATTATAATAAATTTCCTTCGATTATTCATAACGATAATCTGATCAATGATAGTAAAGATAAAGCAAATATATTTAATGAATATTTTGCTAACCATGCACAAGTTGACTATCCTGATAAGGAGACTCCTACACTTGAATGTAAAGTAAAAACTTCACTTGAGTCTATTGTATTGACTACAAAAGCAGTAAGAGACATCCTATTATCAGTTGATATTTCCAAAGCCAGTGGACCAGACAAAATAGGTAACAGATTTATCAAAATGATTGTGCCATCCCTTTGTACTCCTCTTACTAATCTATTCAATTTATCCCTAGAATATTGTAAATTTCCTACAATATGGAAGGAAGCTATTGTCATTCCTATTCATAAAAAAGGTAGTTTTAAAGAATGTAAAAACTACAGATCAGTTGCTCTTACCAGCTGTTTATCAAAGGTATTTGAGAAATGTTTTTTAAAACATGTGTTTAACTTTTTTTTTAGATAATAACGTATTGACCAATTTGCAGTCAGGATGCCTGGGGATGGTACTGTATACCAACTGACATAATTGTATGATTTTATACTACATGCATTAGACAACGGCAAAGAAGTCAGTGCAGTTTTCTGTGACTGTGTAAGGGAATCATAGCGAAATTAGAAGCTTATGGTATTAAGGGTAAATTACTTGATTGGTTTTCCAGTTATCTTGACAATAGATTACAGAGAGTAGCTATAGACAATTACAATTCAGATCTAAAGAAAGTCACTGCTGGGGTGACACAAGGATCTGTCCTTGGGCCATTACTGTTTTTAGTTTACATAAATGATATCATTGAGGGTATCAGTAGTAACATTCGTCTTTTAGCCGATGATACTTTGGTATATGTTATTGTTGATAATCATGTTGTTACTGCCGCTTCCTTAAATAATGACCTAAACAGGATCTCTCACTGGGCTGAAATATGGCAGGTTAGCTTTAATCCTGGTAAGACTGAAGCTGTTTATTCACTCGTAGAAATACCGGTAATCAATTTCCAATTCCTAAGCTTAAAATGCATGAAGTAGACATTACTGAAGTCGGCTACCATAAACACCTAGGAGTAACCTTGCAATCAGACTGTAAATGGAACTCCCACATTGGTGAATTAGTTAAAAAGGTTCGTCCATTGGTAAATTATCTACGTAGTTTTAAATATAGATTATCTAGAAAATCATTGGAGCAAATGTACAAGCGATATATATTACCAATGTTCTATTACTGTTCGCACCTTTGGGATAACTGTACTAAAGAACAAGAAAATCTACATTTAGACGCACTGCGGACGATTTGCGGGGCAGTTAGAGGAACAAGTCATGATTTAATATATAAGGAAACTAACTCTATGCCCCTAGTTGACCGTAGACAAATTAGCAAGTTATCATTATTTTACAAAATGGTTCATCATATGACACCAGTTTATTTAACTGATCTTCTGCCCGAAAAAGTATCACAGTTAAGTGACCATAGATTAAGAAACAGTAATAACATTCAAACTATAAGATGTGGTAGTGATTTGTATAGCAACTCGTTTTTACCAGATACGACAATGGAATGATTTGCCTGAGAATATGTACGATATTGAAACCATGGGCCAATTCAAAAATGCATTCCAATCATCAAAACCACTCAATTTTAATATATTTGATAAAAACTTTGGTACACGTTTCTGCCAAATTATCCACTCACGCTTCAGACTTGGGTGCAGTAACTTGAAAGCGCACATGTTTGAACGGCACATTTCAGTTGATCCATTCTGTTCATGTGGTTACCCCTATGAGGATACTTTACATTACTTCTTTACTTGTCCTAATTATTCTAACATCAGACATCGCATGTATTTTTACGAACATGGATATAATTTATATTCTGCCCTAAATGGAAATCAAAACAAAAATGAACTTGTAAATTCTTTCATACTACAACCTGTCCATACTTTTATAAGAAAATCGCATAGGTTTGATAAATGATTAATACTGTTTAATACGCAGGTTGCTTGCTTTCCTATCATGCTGCATATTATTTAATATTTGTTTTATTCATGTATCAATGAAATGGAGAGGTATTCAAATAAGCCATGACGGCTTGTTTACCAATCCTAGTTCAATTTATTTTGAATAAAATATGTTTACACTATACAAACAAGTTTCAAGTTGCATAAAATTCAGTCAATCATATATAATAACAATATTGGTGTAACCTATTGCAGAATATAATTTAAACAAAATCTAAAACCCATATAGGACCGAAAGAAAACCCGGCCAACGCGTTACCTGAGTGTTATGCATGAAATTGGGGAACTCTTTGGGTATAGGGAAGTCGCTGAAACACATCAACTCCTTGCTTGTGTTGATGACAGTTGACTTCATCACGCACGCTTGATCCTCGCAGATTTTTTCCGTGAAATTCCATAATCCCCCGATCTCGTCAGTTCGCTCAAAACAAAACGGCTGCAGATTTTCCTCTAAACAACATTTGATAGCGATAAGACCGCTACACCCGGCTCCGATGATCGCCACCCGCTTCGCCATTTTGAAAGTTGCCAGAGTGGTCTGACCTTCGGTAACACTCAATGTCAACAGTGTCTACGTGCAGTTTGGCACGCACACTACCACACTCATGTCTACTTTGAAATGTCACCTAATTGTGGCAACAGAGTGCCCGTCAGACCGGAATTTATGCAGGAGTCTGCACAACACGACATGTGGCTGTTTAAACAACATTTGATAGCGATAAGACCGCTACACCCGGCTCCGATGATCGCCATCCGCTTCGCCATTTTCACCTTCGATAACACTCAATGTCAACAGTGTCTACGTGCAGTTTGGCACGCACACTACAACACTACCACACTCATGTCTGCTTTGAAATGTCGACTTATTTCGGCAACAGAGTGCCCGTCAGATCGGAATTTCAGCAGTCTGCACAAGTGGCTGTTTGACCTTTCTACATCAGTTTGATATTTCACTGAGCATGCTTACTACGACACTGAACATATCAAAATCCTTTCTCATTCTGTCTAATCCCCAAGACCAGAATAAGCATATCATAGTTACATAGTTGTGTTGAATCTTGCGTTTAGAATCTTGAATCTTATTTTCCATACTCTTATCAATAAAATAAAGTTTGCATTATCTCAGTATAAACAATCTGAAAGTACAAAAGGGCCGATTTTCAATGAGGTTTCAAGTTTAACGAAACATCTCCACTACCAGTGCATATTGGATATATGGTCGATTCCAACGAAAAGTGTACACAGCATTTTTGGGCCCATAACAATTTAGCATTACTATCTTCACTTATTTCAGGGTGCCCATCACATCGGCACAAGTGAGACGATTCGGGCCATATATAACATGACTATTTTTAATTAAAATTAAGCTTATGGGAGACAAAAACAGGTCATTTTTATTCATTTTGACTTATATTTTACAGATGTTTTGTTGAAAACATGTTGTGTGTTAAATACTAGTCAAACTGGATGAACAGAAGTTTATTAATCTGATTGCCAAATATTTCTTGAATAAATCCCCTGAAATGATTTTGTCTAGGACTTAATTCGTAATTTTGGTAATTTGTTTTCAAGTGGTAGTTTTTTGCGTTACCTACGAATACAGTTTTAAGTGACTCTGTCAATTTATGTAAATGCAACACAAGGTTATGTTTTGTATTACTTTTTACTTTTTACAGCATTAATATGTAAGTACTGAAATGCAATGGCGTTACATAATATTTCTTACAAGTAATAATCTAAAAAATGTCAGAAAGATCAAGGTCTGATTTGTTAAAAGAATCACGGTACCTACAAATACCATCAAATATGTTGCTGTTTCCACAGATGAACACATTAGTGAATGATATCCTAAGTTCAAGTGCAAAGGGCCACAAAGTATACGTGTGCCACATCTGAACATTATCTGTGCTGTTTTTTCGAAGATATCACACAAAATAACCTGTATTCGTAGGTAAATTTTAACTCCCAAATGTTACCTACAAGTAACAACAACTGATCACATTCAAATAGATTGGTAGAATGGCAAGACGTGACATGTGTTCCATTTAGAAGTCATCGTAGATGAGACCAGACAATATCTGGGTGATTAGTAAGTGTATTTTATATTTTCTGTAAGAATTAGGAGATAAACACATCATGCGTTGGCCAATTTCCGGGTGTTATTGAGTATTTGAAGCACGGGAATTCATTTGGAACCGACGGCGTCAGCCGGAGGTTTCAAATTAAATATTCCCGTGCTTCAAATACTCAATAACACCCGGAAATTGGCCAACGCATGATGTTTATCGACATTGTAAACACAAAAGTAAACCAAAAGGTCGTTTTTGTGTCTAGACTCATTGACACCGAGTATGGGTACAGCAGTTAAATGTCATCAGCCGGCCGTTTCGGCTGCCTCCTATGGTGGCATCTGGAAGTGTTCATTTGTGACGTCATTCGGACTTTGTGTCACAATATGATTTTAATGACGTCATCACAGCTGACGACTTAACAATACAATGGTGTGAGCGATGTTTGTATGTATTAATACGCAGTGTATTTCCGGGTATCGAATACCATTTGATCATGTTTTTCAACCAATCAGAATCAAGAACACAGTGACTTTTAGTTTACAATGTTATATAAATAAACCCATGTCACAATAACATATGATGCATATGACACCTGTTACAACCAACCAACCTTTTAGTGAGGTTTTAAGTCTTATTATTGTAACAAAAAGCCTCAGACTGCAAGTGGAATTCACATTGGGGCTCACAAAATGAAATAGAGAACACAATACGCTACTATAATATAATTTATACTGAAGACAATTATTGCAGATCATAAGTAAACTTATTAAGAACGCAGTACTGTATATTAATAGATTGAAATGGTTCCTTGGAATTTCGAATGGCTACATAACTGAGCGTTCAATAAAAATGTTCTATTCAGGGATGCACTGCAGTTCGTAGTTTAGACTTTATCATAGTGATATAATGAATTCTTTTTGATTGAAATGTCAGAAAACAAGTTGATCTGGGTGATAAAAGTAAAAGTTTGCATGATATCACGCGACCAACGGTTGATTCGTTGGTAACATGTGTATTTGCTGGTAACATGTGTATTCGTTGGTAACATTCCGTAACAACAGTCAGTGTGTTTGAAGTTGTAAGTCTTTTTCAGGGCTGTCACCGATGCACTTGCGAACATAGGATAATTGAGACTAATAGCAATTGTCAGTGCAAAATATGGGTAATTAAAGCAGAGTTATTGTTCAGTAAGACGCATAATGTATTGATTGTTTTAGTGACATGTTATCTGTACGTAATGGTATATGGTATACGGTAATAGTTCAAGCGTTTTAAACATTTGTGATGTGCTTTCTTTGAATACAAATGTCAGTTGAAACATTTGGTAAATAAAATTTCAGGTGTATTGATTTTAGTTCAATTTCTATACTTCTCATCAACAGTTTAGACCCACAAATTCTGAACAAAACTTTACACCAAAATGCAGCTGTTCACATGTACGGTATTTGCACATGCTTTTCAGCAATTTGATGCATGATCCTCGTGCAATTCATCTGCATAAGGTTTGCAGTTGGTTTTCTAACTATATATATATATACATACGCACATATAGTGAGTGTTTCTAAACTTTTGATGAGAAGTATATTTCCATCAGTTAAAATGACATTGCTACTTTCCGACATACACTGAGACAAAACAAAGAGAAATCCTTAAACCGGTTGTAAACAATCTGTATTCACATGTCCTATGCACTTAAATAAACAATTTCCAACAACTGTTCGATGTTTTAATAAACCAGCTATGATTTAGTTTGATATATATAAAAATTTATGAAATACAAGGAATTATGTGATATTTGTTACTTACAGACGGTCATAAGCAACTTACGGAAGTGATTGTAACTTACAACTATTGTAATTTACAATTGCTTTGAGGAACGGTTGTGTGATTGTAAGTTAAAGTTACGATTGGATTGTAGTGATTTACAACTATTGTAGTGTTACAATCGCTTTGAGGAACGGGGCCCTTGTATTTAACTTCCACCAAAAATTTAGTTTTTGATGCATTTTCAAATTAGTTGTACTTACCGAAAGTTCCACCCGTTGTCTCTCAGATGAATATGATAGATATGTGATAATGATTTCTTTGTGAAAAGAACACTAAGTGGTGCTATCTCACTTAAATAAAACAAAGGTACCAAAATGGTTCTATTTTCGTAAAGCTTGAGGTTATAAAACATGAAAGAAATCATGATATGGCTTCAGATTTTCTATAGTCATTAACATAATATTATTGTGCATGCAGAACAACAGTGAATTTGGATGTTAGGCAACATACAATCCATCTAATCACAGGATATACAAGGTATGATGTTGGTATTTGTAGGTTATTAAGAAAATGAGCCTTCAACTTCACTGATCCACCAACTTATGGCTTTTAGAGATTAGTGATGGCAACTGATTTTCATAAGAGGCAAATATGTTGACTTTACATTGGTAAAAAGAATTACAAGGTGCAAGCAATTCTATTTTGGTACCCTTGTACCTAGAAGTGTACACTTTTCGTTGCAATCGACCATATACTCTTCAAAGAAAAGAAACTTGACATAGGACAAATTTGAATGTTAGGAAAATATTTGACACGAACCAATCCATGCTGAATCCCAGCATGTGGGCGAATGGTTGCCGACGACACAACGTTTGAAAAAAGAAAAGATTAACAAAAATGTAACGTTACACTCACGTCTGTAGTGAATCGCTAAAACGCACCCTTTATGAAATGCACGAGCATCATGAAATTGTGTATCGCCCCGAGCTGAAGCCTATGACTGTAGGCTTTAAAACGCCACATCAATGATACCCCACATGCATTGATTTAAGCCGCTATAGACGGCAAGAGAATGAGAAAACTGACAGACGCTCAACGACACAACGCCATCGGACGTTTACAAGGACGGACATCGCAGCATGATGTGTCAAGGCACTTCAGCATGTCCAGACAGACCATATCAAACCTATGGATCCGATACAAAAATACTGGGGGTGTTAATGACAGACCCAGGTCAAATCGACCTGGAGTTACCACCGCCGCCCAGAATCGCCACATCCGGTTGCGACATTTTCGTTCAAACGCTGGAATGCGCCGAATCTCCGACCAGACGGTGCAGAAGTGGCTATGGAAAGCCAGACGTTTTGACAGAAGACCAGTTCAACGTCACGTCGTTCCCCACATCAACGTCAACGGTTGATCTTTGGAGCATGACAATGTTCGACCTCACGTTGTACGTGTTTGACAGGTCTTCCTCCAGCAATGTTCAGTTGTTACCTTGGCCTTCTCGATCACCGGATCTGTGCCATATTGAACATCTTTGGGATACTCTTGATTATCGATGCTCATGGTGGTCACACCAGATATTGACATTTTACTCTGACCAAGTTGCTTTAATAGCCCTCTGTGGTTTTACCAAACACTTTCTGGATAATCATGTTTAGAAAATTTGGAAAGAGATGATTTTACTGTAACTGATGTCATGTCTGAATCAGT